CTGTTCCTCTCACGGGCCCTCCTGCTTCCCTTCGGCTCAGGACCCCCACCCGGCCTGCTGACTTTGGTGACGGTCCCATCTCTCCTTCGCTGTGAAACTTCTTCAGCAGTGGCCTTTCTCCCAGCCACCGGAGGACGTCACTTCTGGAACCCGCTTCTGAGGTCACTGGGGCCTGTTCCCTGACTCCCCAAAGCCGATCTGTCTCATCCCTCAGCAGACACTCACGCTACGGTCCCCTTTCCCCGGATCACTGGCTCCTGTCCGGTCCCTCAGGTCCACACACGCCCAGGGTGGAGGTGTCCACTGCCCTGCTGCCACAGCTCAAGCCAGCATCTCTAGTCCTGACCTCTTATTTCAACCTCGAGTCCACGCTCTGGCTGCTTCCAGGGTATGGTCATCTCACAGCGGATTCATCTGAAAAGCAGCCTCATACATCCTCAGCATCGTGTACATTTCTTCATTGGAGGTTTGTTTCTCTGCACCATGGTCAGAAGGCGTTCCTGCCTGTTTTGTAAGGTCTTGGGAGGAGGGAGCCTGTGAAAGCCTAGAATCGGTCCACTTTCTCAGTGGTTGTTTACGGACCAAAGGAAGGGGTCATTCTTTCAGTCTGAAACCTTAAGATCATATTCGGCCTTTTCCTCGTCTTCGTTTCTCCATCAATCGTTTATCACGTTCCACTCTTCGCCATTGTATTTTTTTCCCACTTCTTTCCATCTCCCTGGATACCGCACCTGTTTAAGTCCTTACCTTTTAAGACCGACTCACTGCCATCCTCTCCTAGAGGCCTGTCCCCTTGTCAACCTGTTACATGTACAGCCGTGATGCTACCCTATTACCATCATGGAATTCTCTGGCTTAGGAACGCAGAAAAGTTCCCGTTGACTTCCTTAAGTCTGAGCAACAATGCCTGCCTTCCTTTTCTTCCCTTCTTCTACATTAATGGGTTGAAAAAAATCAAAAGAAGTACAGCGACACATCAGCTCTGCGGTGGGGATACAGCAACAGCTATAGTCTCTTCATCCAACTTCCTCATCCCAAGATTACTAACCTTCTCTCTACTCTGGAAACGTAATGAATGAATAGAGCAGCTTTCCCCTCGTATGCTTATTGTCTATAAAAGGCGGCTCCATTTGCACAAACTTTTCTGTGCGTTGCTATTCTTCACTTATTAAAAATCACAGCTATCTCACCAGGTCAATGCCTGTGGCTTACACTCAATATTTTTTTTAACTGAAATATAGTTGACTTACAATGTTGTGTTAATTTCTGCTGTATAGCAAAGTGATTCAGTTATGCACATATATATTTACAGTCTTTTTTAGTAGTCTTTTCTTTTATGGTTTATCATAGGATACTGATATGCAGTAGGACCTTGGTGTTTATCTATAGTATATATAATAACTTACCTCTGCTCGCCCCAACCTCCCACTCCATCCCTCCCCCAACTCCCCACACTACCCTTGGCAACCACAAGTCTGTTCTCTATGTCCGTAATTTTGTTTCTGTTTTATAGATAGGTTCATTTGTGTCGTATTTAAGATTTCACTTGTAAGTGATAGCATGTGGTATTTGTCTTTCTCTGTCTGGCTTACTTCACTTAGTATGATAATCTCGAGGTCCATCCGTGTTGCTGCAAATGGCGTTATTTCATTCTTTTTTAGGGCTGAGTAATATTCCATTGTATATATGTACCTCATCTTTTTTATCCATTCCTCTGTTGATGAACATTTAGGTTGTTTCCATGTCTTGGCTATTGTGAATAGTGCTGCAATGAACATAGGGGTGAATGTATCTTTTTAATTATAGTTTTGTCCAGACATAAGCCCAGGAGTGGGATTGCAGGATCATGTGGTGACTCTATTTTTAGTTTTCTGAGGAACCTCCATACCGTTTTCCACAGTGGCTACACCAACTTACGTTCCCACCAACAGTGTAGGAGGGTTCCCTTTTCTCCACATCCTGTCCAGCATCTGTTATTTGTAGACTATTTAATGATGGCCATTCTGACTGGTGTGAGGTGATACCTCATTGTAGTTTTGATCTGCATCTCTCTAGTAATTAGCAATGTTGAGCATCTTTTCATATGCCTATTGACTTCTTTGTAGAAATGTCTGTTTAGGTCTTCTGCCTATTTTTGGATTGGGTTGTTTGTTTTTTGGTTGTTGAGTTGTATGAGATGTTCTGTTTGTATATTTTGGAAATTAAGCCCTTGTCAGTTACATTGTTTGCAAATATTTTCTCCCATTCTGTAGGTTGTCTTTTCCTATTTTTTTTTTTATGGTTTCCTTTGCTGTGCAAAACCTTGTAAGTTTGATTGGGTCCCATTTATTTATTTTTGTTTTTATCTCTATTGCCTTGGGAAACTGACCTAAGAAAACATCGGTACAATTTATGTCAGAGAATGTTTTGCCTATGATCTCTTCTAGGAATGTTATGGTGTCATGTCTTATGTTTGTCTTTAAGCCATTCTGAGTTTATTTTTGTTACACTCATTTTTTGAATGGCTACGTAATATTCTGCAGCCAAAAATGTATCCAACCATCTCTGTAAATTCCCCTACCAATGGATAGTTAGGTTGTTGTATTTCATTTATTTGTTTTATTCCACTATAAAAAGGTGCAATAAATATCACACACATCTCTGTACACATTTCCATACTATGGTTTTCTTAAAAGATATTGTCAGTACTGTTAGAAAATGTAAAACTCCATGCACTCGTTAGTAAAGTATGATTATGCCCATTATCTAAGTGCTTATCTCCAATGGATCCCACCAGTCTGTTATTTTTACTGAGTGAAGTTACCTGTCACATGGTTGCTTACATTTTTCCTTCTCCAACCAGGAATGAGGGTCAGTATTAGCCAGATTCAGCCTCCTAAGTTTCCCCTGCTAGGAAGTTCTTATTCTCACCCTTTGCCTATTTTTCTTCTTTTAAAAATTTTCACATCAATTCATAATAGCTCTTTGTATGTTTAAGGTGTTAACCCCTTTGCCCATCTTATCTGTTGCAAGTATTTTCTTTTTTTTCCTTGCTAGTGGTGTTTTTCCCAAATAGAAGCACACAATGCAGGCCATCCCACGGTCGTCTGGACAGAGTACCAGCGCTCTATGGCCGGCGTGCCTTCCCCACTCAGCCCCGTCTCCTGGATGTCCTCAGCCTGCCCACCAGTGGGCCCCGGTCCCCTGGGCCTTCTCCAGGCTCAGCCCCTCATGACGTCGATGGGCACAGGCTCCTCCCGCCTGGCATGTCTGGCCCACTTCTGGGGTCTGTTCTATATCCTGGGCTCTGTGTTTGTGAACTGGCCAAGAAGGATGCTCCTTTGTCTAATTAACACCTGCCTCAGCCAGACAGGCCCCTTGGGTGGGAGCAAAAAAGAAGAGAGAGACAACACATCCCTTTCTGACAGTGACAAAACCACAAATGTGATGAGAAAACTGCTTTGAACAAATAGTCAATAATGTTCTATATTCACAAGCAGATCTATGAGTCTGCTTTTGAGACTATATATCTGGTCTATATTCAGCATTTTCCAACTTTCTTCCCAATTTAAATTTTGATGAAGTGGCACAAAAAATAAAATTCAAAGATTCAAATGTGTTATGACATTATAACAATTAATAAAAATGTTCATTTATATAAAGATTTGAAACTATCTGAGTGATTTTTTAGTTTATAAATTTTTTAAAAATCCAGTTTTTATAAAATTATTTTACTCTTTTTTTTGGGGGGAACACTACTAAATGGATAAAGAACAGAAAAATTAGAGAAGCTTATATCTACAAGTGAGAGAAAGTGTAATCTGTGAACTAAGTTTGTGTTCAGGGGAGACGAAATACACAATTCACTGAAAATTTCCAGAAATTAAAATATCTTGGAAATTATTGAATAGGCAAGATATATGAATTTTAGAGAGAAAGGGCTGGGCTTGGCACTTAGTTTCTCCCACTTACTGCACATTTTCACCCTTCAAGACTCAGTCTGATCGTCTGTACAAACTGCACAGTGAGAGGAGTGTCTTCCCGCGAGCTCAGTGCAGGGTTGGATGGGTGTGAAAACTCAGGATCGCCTGGGGCTCTTTAAACTGTGGAGTGCTGTGCCCACGTGCCCACGTAAGGAGGGACGTTGTGTCCTGACTAGTCCTGTGACCTCATGCGTCCATCTCAGCGGGAGGAAAACACCAGACGAGACGCACCCCTCACCTCAAGGAGCTTTCAGAGATCAAAGTAAATGTACCCGCAAAAGAAAAGTCACCCAAATGGTAGGAAGAGAAGCTAAAGAAACAGCACATAACAGAAAGTGAGAGAAAGTTCTAGAAGGATGTTGGGGGGAAGGAGTATTGAGTTGGGACCCCAGGGTGCGAGGGGGCACTGCGTGCAGTCCGCTCTCCTGACACTGACCACACTGGGAAGTAGTCAGGTGGCCGCGGGTCAGTGTGGGGAAGTTTCATCCCTGGGATGGTGGGATGCCGGGCTGGATGACCCCTCTGACCCCTGATGTGGCCTGGGCTTGGTCTCAGGAGACCAGGGGTGGATTTCTGAGACAAGTCCCAGGAGAAGGGTGGGACTGCAGGCCGGAGGCCCACAGACGTGCAGTGGACAGGCCATGAAGGGGGCCCCTCCAGGCCTGGCCTCACGGGCCCAGGGGTGAGACAAGAGCTCGGGGAGGGTTGAAGGGAGCTTCTCTCTCTTTTCTAAGCCCCTGGGATAGGGTTGGTCAGCCCCTGGGGGGCGGGGGTTGTAGATACGTAAAGAGGAGAAGACGAGGATGAAACAAAGGCCTTGAAGAGGAGGCCGTGGAGACACTTCGGGGCGGGACGAGGGCACCTGGGGGGACGGGGCTGCAGAGGTCGGGGAGCGGGCAGCCGTCGTGACCACGGAAGGATGCAGTTTGCCGACAACGGCCTAGAGCAGACATCTGCGCTGTCAGCGGTCCACGCACGCGCAGTGCACGGCCTCCTCACGGACCACTCGCAGTCGGTGGGGCAGGGTCAGGGGGTTACCTTGCAGGAAGTCTTCTCTCCTAGGAACGGAGGCAGCGTGACTGTGGGCAGGACACAGGCCCAGAGTCAAGTTCTCTCTAAGTTCTAATCCGGGTCCTCCCCAGCCTGTGACTGCGGAGAAGTCACTTAATTTCTCGGTGCCTCGATTTCTCCATCTGCAAAACAGGGACCACGGGGTAAACCACCTATTGATTTCATGACGACACCAGGAAGCAGCGTGAATAGAGAACATGCCCTCGGCAGTGACCATGGACCCTCCTGCTTCCCCCAGGGACCACGTCTTCTGTCCTCCCCACATACAATGGTGCCCTTGAGAATTTCTCTCCTGGACTTGGGGCCACTGTTTTGTCTCCGAGAAAGGGTCTTCCCTGGGTTCCATCTGGGAAGACTTGTTCCCTGCCAGCCAAGTCAGCTGCGCAGACTGTGGAACATTCTGCCCTACCTGAGGAGGTTCGAGAACTCTTGGTACAGGGGGACCAGCATCCCTCCAGGCTGGTCTCCATAACGTTTGTGGAGCTAGATGACTTTACAACACATTATCCAGTATGTTACTAATCCATCAACCAAACTATGGTGACTTTCTGAATGAAGAAACTGACAGAGAGGTTGAGATATTTGCTCAAAGTACCCAGGTAGTCAGCGGGAGAGTCATACGGGAAACTGCACACTCTTGCTGCCAAATCTAGGACTCTTCCCAATGCAGCCGGGCTGTCCACACCCCCCCCCCCCACCAGGAGAACCGGAGGGGCTGAGACCCAGGGCCAGGAACCTGAGTCCTAGAGTCCTGCACGAGCTTTTGAGTGGCGACTTTGGGTGCTTTGCCCCAGCCGTTGCTGTGGCTATTCATTCACATGGGTTCATTCGTTCCAAAGGGTCCAGTGCCTCTTGCTCACGCGGTTTGCTGGAATGAAAACCTCTGGGCACTGACATTTCGGATAACCAGCTTATCACAGACAACCAGCAAAATGCTGAGGTATGACATCAACTTTCGTTGTAATTCCTCATTTGAACTACAGGAAATTAGAGAGTTGAGTCAAATAAGGAGGAGCGGGAGGCATTGAGCAGGAGTCCATTGTCCTTGGAACTCAGCCATCCTTCCTGTTACCTGGGAACCAGCTGCCCTGTGTGCTCCCATCCACACTTAGGGCTGAGCTGTAAATCCTTTCCTTGAACACTTAATCTTCCCAAGGCCTGATTTGCTCCACACAGACAAGGACTAAGAGTTTGCTCATGTGTGTCTTGCTAGGAACACAAGGACGTAAGCCACAGAAGATTTAAACTCATAAATTCCCAGAAAGAGAAAGGAATTAGACCAGATTTGTCTTTCTGCTTTTCAAGTTTGCCATTTAGAACAAAGAATGTCTCCCCACCTCCTCCTTGGGATTTAATAACTTCCCCTAAATTTTCCCGGTTCATCTGTCTCCGGGCTCAGCCCTCGGGTCCTCGTGACTCTGGAGCAGCCAGACCACCTGCTTTGTCTTAGGTGCTGCAGCCAGGGGCTGGTTAATACAGCTTTGTTGATAGGAACACAAAGAAAAGAAAAAAGAAAAAGAAACGAAGGGAGAGGCAGAGAGAAACAAGAAGACAGCGCTCCTGTGGACCCGCACAGGAGGAATATTTGATCGAATTGAGAGGATTGTTACACAAGTGACCCAACCGGCCAGTAAAATGTTTAATGGTCAAAAGATTTGGAATCAGGTGGACTTGGGTCACAAAAGCACTACCACTTACTACCTCATGACCTGAGCTGGTTGTTCATAAGCATTTATTTCCTAGAATTTTCAATATCCAAAGTAGATACTATGCAAGAAGGATCTAGCTAACCGTAAATGCTCAGCAAATGGTAGTATGTTTGTATATTATTATCACTGTATATCTATTTATTAATATACCTCCATAATATCTCTGAGTTTCAGTTTCTCACTTATAACCATGATGATATAGACAGCTCCCTAAATAGGGACGCCTTTAATTAACTCAACCACTATTTACTGAGGGCTCGCCTGCCTGCACTCAGCTAGACTTGGGTGACTCGGTATGAAACAAGATAGGTAAGACATTTCTACATAAGTTCAAAGGAAGAATAAAAGAAAGAACAGTGGAGAGTTAGGGTCAACACAGCTGCAAACTTAAATATGCAAAAAATAATTTTGAGGGGGTGTCGAGAAAAAGAGAAAGGATGAAAGAGCAGAAGGAAAAAACACAAAAAGCAGTACGTTTGGGTAAAATAGAAATTCCATACCCATCACTAAATTTATCAAAGAAACCCCAATAATTGAGACAATACAACATAATCTACTAAAACACAAATGAAAACAGGTTAATACATTGACAACACACTCAGTTTTGATACTGTGACATATGTAGATGCTGGCCTTTTAAAATAAATTATTTTATAAAACTATAGCTATAAAAAGCACTTTTTAAACAGCAAATATTCAACTCAGTGTGAGTAATATTATCCAGAAATATACATATAAATAGCTCATAATATTTAAAAATTAAACAATTAAATTATATATGAACGAATGACAAGCAAACTGTTGATTATGGTTCAACTCCTGATCTCAGCATAAATTAAATTAGATTTGAGAGTCCTATTGACTACAGTTGTCACATAAACCTGCGGCACACTCGTCTGTGGGTCTTGTGTTCTGGTGACAACAAAGTTGTTAGACCACGTCCCTTACAGAGCCCGTGGGAGGGCAGGGGGTGATGATGCCACAGGGCCAAGTGTCCCCCTGAAAGCTGCACATCGACATTATTTAATCCGAGGACGGCTTCCGGTGGCTCCGAGCAGAGTACTTATTGCACAAAGACAGAGGTTCCCTCCCTGGGCAGCACAGGGATGAGGCAAGTCCCACCCACAGCCCAGCAGCCGAGGGGGGTCAGGCACCCTGACAGGTGGTTCCAGGGTTCACAACCGATCTGAACCCCTCTTCTTTGGGACCCAGTCAGTTTCTTTTTCAATGGCGGAAATTCCCTCTGGGAAATTTATTTCAGGAAATCAAGGTCTCAGACCTATTATTATTTTTTTTATTTGCTTTTGAAAAACGTGCATTACAAGTGTCTGTATTGAGAGGCTGAAGGCAAGAGAGACTGCTGGGTGTTGAAGGAGACCAGCAGGCCTCACACGGCTCTGTCTGCCCTTCCTCCCTCTAGATGCAGGGCATAGGAGCTGTTTATTTTCCAGACCCCCTAACAGTCTCCTCCCTGGGCTTCTCCTCTACCTTGTTGACACTCAGCCCAGGCATTTTTCCCAGAATGAGAACCTGCAGGAAAGTTTCCCTCTGAGATCTTGCATGTCAGGAAATGTCTTTATTTCGCTCTCAGGCAGGACTTCCTAAGTGTAAATTGCTTCCATGAGACTAGAAGGCCAGGCCTCCAGCATGGCCTCTGCCGCTGAGGCCAGTCTGATGCCACCTCTCATCAGAAGCAGTCCTCCCTCCCCCTGGGCTTGTGTGTCGCTGTGGGAATCCGTTCTCCACTCTTACTGCTCAGCACTCAGTACACACGTGCTGGTCGCTGACAAGCTGCTTCTCCTTTCTTTGATAACTTCTCCCTTTTGATTTTCTTTACTGTGTGTTTTTTAAAAAAATGTCTACCAAATGGATTTGTGTTGTCTAAATGTATCCTACTGATAAGTTGATCCTAGTGAGCTTGGCTTTTTTTTTTGTTTTTGTTTTCATTCTTTCTGTTTCCTCTCTATCTTTTGGAAGGTTTTTTCAAATTTATCTTTGAGTTCTTCAATTGTATTTTAAAATTTCAAGAATCCTATTTTATATGCCCAAACTGTTTTTTATCACAGTTTTACATTTGCATTTATTTTGGTGATTATTTGTCTTTACAAGAGGTTTAAGACCAGGCCTCTGGTGGACCATTTCTCTCCCTTTGACTCAGTCCCTGTCATCCTCTGGGAGAAGCTGAGGGGCACGCCAACCCCCAGGCTGGCTCAGGTGCCCTCTTCGTGCCTATGACATCTTGTGTTTCTTTTTATCACAAAATTTATTTATTCACCCAGCCCATTCATGTCTTCTCTTTTGTACCTTTTCTTATTTCAGACAGAAAATGCATTATTACATGGTACTGTAACAGTTCGCTTTCTCTTCTATTTGAAGTGGTGCAAAACCCCTCCTTTCATATTTTGGGTATTTACAGCATAAAACAGAGAATGTGCCATGGTCAGGCCCATTCTGGCAGGAGTCCTGACTGGATTCTCCCATCCCTCCCACTTCTGTGGCTGCTTCTCTGTATGGAAGGTGCCAGCAGGGAGGACGTAGAGGCAGCAGGAAATCACGAAACCCCATTTCCCTGTCCAGCTCTTCAGATCTAGGTGAAGACGTTCAGAATGCAATGGGGGGGGCTCAAGGTGACCCCAGAAGTTATGAGTCAGGTAGGCTGGAGGCTGGCTTTCTCTTGGGAGTTTCTGCCCAGCTGTGTGGAAGCCGTGTTGGGTGGCTTGGAGGTGTTGGGTGTTGTCTTCTAGACCAGGACCTAATGCTGCTCAGGGTGAAAGGCATGACGGTGTCACAGGCCTGTCTTGCCTCTCTACGTGCAGATTCATTACCCTGGGTCAAGTCCTGGTACCTCTTGGAGTCTTCAGGAAGGTCAGGATGGAGTTGGTCCAATGAGGTAATGATGCTCCTGCAGTGAAACTTCCCCATCACTGGAAATACCCACTAATGGCTCAGGTGTCCCTTCTAGGCATGAGGTACCATGGAAAGAACAAGGATCGAATCCCAGCTCTGATATCTATGAGTTTTGTAACCTTTGATACTCAGAAGATATACCCACAGCTAACATCACACAAAACAAAGCAGAACTCACACTTTCCAATTTCAAAATGTACTACAAAACATAGTAATCAACATAGCGTGGTACTAGCATAAGGACAGACACATAGACAAGTTGAATAGAATTGTGAATCCAGAAATAAACTCATACATCTTTGTCAGCTGATTTTTACAAGGGTGCCAAGACCATTTAAAGGGGAAAGGATAGCCTCTCCAACAAATGGTGCTGAGACAACTGGACATCCCCACACAAAACAATGAATTTGAATCCCTGTCTCACACCATGTAACAGAATGAACTCAAATTGGGTCAAAGACCCAAATGTAAGAGATAAAACTATAAAGAACTTAGAAGAAAACCTA